CCTGCGCGCTCGGGCTGCTGCCCGCTTCCGGCGCGGTGCCTGCCCGCAGCCTTGTCATCGAGGGAAGGGAGACTGGCACAGCCCCGGAGAGGGGCTTCGGACTTGGTTTGGTTTTGTGTACAGAGGAGGGGAGGAAAAAACCTACTAGCGAACTGCTTCCCTGCTGTATGTGAGGCTTAGTTTCCCAATACTGAGCTGTGTTAAGGATTATTTTTCTTTTTTGTTCCTTGGCTTTCTTGTTCTTCCCCACCATATCCTGTATAAAAACAATTTGCGTGTGCTAATTGGCAACTTAAAGAGACTTAAGGAAAGGCTTCGTACCAGTGCATTGTTAAACTTTGGATGTATGGTGTTACTGACTGACTAAGGGTGATGGGAAAGAGCTGCCTTATTCCTCCTCCTCATTTTCTGTCTGCAATTTACTGTTGCCATTGGAAAAACTGTTGGCTTAAACAGTAGCAGATTCTAGTTCAAAATACTTTTTTTCCGTATGCTGTCAGGTGCCTTTTCCATCTGGAGATGGTAAGCGTGAGATGGCTGGTGCTTCTTAAGTTCGTAATCTTAGGTAGTTTGGGCGAGGTTTAGTATGTGTAAGAGAAACCACAGCCTTAAAAACACTCTCGGGATTTTCAGTAATCCAGGATCTCAAGGGCATGATTTCCTGAATAGTTTTTGTTTTAGCGTGGCACGGAGAGGAAGTAGCTGGAAGTGGAGCTCTGTTGTGCTTGGTCCTGTGCATGGGTGTAGCAAGAGATGATTCCTGCGGTAACAAGCATGCAGATGAAATAGACAACCTCCTCCAAATTTCTTTCCTATCTTTCTAAAAATTTTGCAAGGATTTTAAACTATAACAAGCATCAGAAATGTAAGTAACAATTGTTTCCTTTCGCCTTCCTTTTATGAAGGGCACAGAAGGAAAGACTTCTTTCCAAACTCTAAAGCATAAGTCTTAGTTTTAAAAGCTCTTGCAATTTCTGGCTTAGGCTAATAAAAAGGTATTATTTTAAGACTCTTCTACAGATCCTTGACTAATGCAGCGTTGCAGATGGACTTCCTTGTACAGGTACTACTATAAAGACTAATGATTGTGGCTTTTCTCCTTCCTTTGCAGTAATTACTGCTGTATAAGAGGGGAGCTGGTGATTAAACAGTAAAAGGTGGCGGGGGGGGGGGGGGAGAGTTGCTCACCAGGTGTCCAAGAAATGAACACACTAATTACTTCTTAGAAATGGAATAGATTTTTCCAGCTGTGACTCTCTTATCAAGGATTTGTTTGGGGTTTTTACAACAGAGAGTGAATGAGTAAAATGAAGTACTGGACTTTATGACTAGAAGTACAAGTAATGCCTGACACTGGAAAGGAAGAGGAAGATTCTATATTACACCTCTCTATTTTGTCAGTAGTAAAACTCTTCTCCTCCTGTTGGTCATAGCTCCTTTTTCTCTGCATGCCTCCGAGAGAAATATTAACCAAGAATGTTGGCAGAGGGGCTTGCTGGTTGGATATAGTAACTGGAACAACTTAACTCCTGAGCAGTTGACAAGTCTCAGGCTGACTGACCTTCTAAAATACTGGAGCATGAAAATAAATGAGCATATGAATGTGGCTTTCAAAGCCAGCTAGACAGGCTGTGTCAAATACTGTTACCAAGTCATCCCTCCTCCCTTTTTTTTTTTAAAAATAAAAGCAAGGAATTTTAATTTCCTGTGTAACTAACTGTTTAAGGGTATCTTTTTCAATTGGGTGTGTATTGATTATTCCTGTACCAAGGAAAGTCCAGGGCAAGACTTAACTGCTCTGTTTTGCCAGTGCTGTTTTCAGCTCTGTTTGCCCTGGGCAGGCAGACCTGTATGTACTTACATAGGAATGAAATGTGCATTAGATTAGCTGCTTTTTAAAATAAATACCTCTGCTTTGTGCTTCAGGTGTCTTCTGCCCTCCTCCCTATACCAGCACAGCAGTCACAAAAAGAAACATAGGAAAGCAACCTAAGATCCAGCTCTGAGGCTGTGACACAGCCATACTGGGGCTGAAAATAATCTTGCTGTCTTAAATACTTTGTAAAACAGGATTTGGCTCAACTTTGCTATGACTGTAGCAGTACTTACATAATGAAACCCTAAACCCCAGTGATGCTACACCTGTAACAAGACAGAAGTTGACTAATTACAGAGGAGTCTGTGCCTGAAATTGTTTGTGTACATTTCATGTTTCTGAAGTGTTGGGTGTCATAGGTAGCACCACCCTGATGTTAACAGGGGAGATTTAAAAAGAGTAACTTTAAAAGAATTGGACACTTTCCTTGTTGAAATTTGCATAAGGACATTTGAAGTCAGAGGAGACCTCGGCCACCACCTGGATGTGTTTTACAGCCCCATATAAAACTGGACGAGGCAGCCCTGGGTATCATACGTAGTTTTCCCACTGAGCAGATACTGGTCATCAAATCTCAACTGTAGAGTACCAGTGAGAGCCTTATTGTTATCTTTGGGTAAGGCGTTAATCTAAAGAAAAGTAACTACTTGTCACTGGCTAGAGTTTTATTCTGTTGCTGTAAATGCATGGGAAATGCAAGCACTTCAGGGATCCTTCTCTGGTGATTTAACCCACGCTGTTGTATATGAACCTTTGCCACTGGCCTTCTTTGCTTTAGGCAGCAGGATTCAGCTGAAGCTGCTGTTGATGTGGTGAACTGGGAACAGAGTTTACTTGCAAGGGATAAGGCATGTGAAAACCTGCTTCACAGATTTCTCCTGAATAAATTCTGTCTTGAGGTTGGACCAGTGTGCTTAGCATCATCAAATCCTGCATTGGTATTCCACTGGCTGTTTTAAAAGAAGCAGCATTTCCCAAACACTGCGGAGAGGATGATGAGGTAATGATGATCTAGGCTTTTGCAAAAGGTCTTTTGTCTTGTGTTGGTTTAGTTTTCTTCAGTAGGTGATGAAGTTTCTAAAGTATAGGGTCTCAAAAAAACCTAAAAAGGCTGTTCTTGAAAACCCAGAAAGACTAGTTAAGAATGAAGGACAGTATTGAACCCTCTTCTTCTGGTATCTTGAGGCTTGGATTAACATGGTCAAAGGTGTGACCTTAAGCATTGTTTCTGAGCAAAGCATGATTTGGAGAATTCAGTGTAGTAATTGAATTATTACTTAGGTGATGAAAATGTTGGTTTGTGATTATTTCCTTTCTTTTTAAGTGGTTGCTACATTTAATTTGAGATCCAATTCAGCAAACCATTTAAGCGTGTGATAAAATATCCTAGTGAAGTCAGCTGGATTTAAGTTTTACTGAATTGGTGCCTTGCCCATCTAGTTCTTTTAAAAACTTATGTACACAGGATTAATTATTTCACTGTTGGCAGCTTTCGCAAATTCTAGTGCAAGTTGTATGAATGACATTCAGTGTGTTTCTTGAGGCTCCAGCTTCCAGATTTAGAGGACTGAGAGAATCTTTGTTTTTAGTTTTAAAACTAACGGATTTTGTAGCTCTCCAGCCTGTAGAGGAAAGTTTGAATTATCACAAATGCACCACAGAAACCAGAAAGTTTAAAACAAAATATTGGGGTTACTTGCATTAAATTCACTTGAATTCTGGGAGTCTTGCATGGTTGTTAGCACTCTAATTACTTTGGTTGTAGCTGCATGTCTGTCCTGGGCTGCCATGCTACCATGAGAGTACCTTGAGTTCCCACTTTGCTGAACATTGTTCAAACTTACTTGACACCTGTTCTGAAAATCTCAAATTAGAATTGATACCCAAGGAAGTGTCTATAAAAATGCTGTTGGCCTGGTTCTTGTTTAGAGGACCGTACTGTCATAGACTGGGGGGATGGGGTATGGGGTTTTTGTTTTTCTTTTTGTTTTTTAAGTGGTCAGCAGTTCTATTTGGCTGGCTGTACTATGGGGACAGTCCCGCTCTAAACAAGGGCAGGAACGTTTCCTGGTTACTGGATGTTAAATAGCCATGACTGTTTTGGACAAACAGGATTTTTCATGAGCAGATAAGGAATGTGCATCATATTAAAATGCATTAGCACATTATCATAAGCATCCGCACTTACGATGTGGAGAAGAAAAGTCAGAATTAAACCGTGTTGGCCAGTTTTGGTTTACCTTGGTTCCTAAACATGAAGCGTTCTTGATTGTTACTTCAGTTTTGTTTTGACTCTTTCTATAAGAACAGCTTACAAATTTACTGTCTGATTCTGGGGTTTTTATGTGCTC